CACAAACACACACACACACACACACACACACACACACACACACACACACGCACTCACACACACACACACACACACACACACACACACACACACACATAACAAGGAGATTAAACACTTTTATTTTTTTTAAAGGTGATTAATCTTTGCCCTGCACTAATTTTAACCCATTAAAGGGCACTCATTGAAATACTTATTAGAAAATCACAAGACCTTTGAACTTAAAAAGCAATATATAGTAACCGATGTCAATGAAGTTACTATATTTGGTTCTTCTCCTGAAAAATGGTTAAAACTGAACACAGTCATTAGCTACTTTATGCACAGCTATAATTCTACATTGGACACAAGTTTTAATCTGATAGATTTCACGAATAAGAATTCATGTGTCTAATGTTTCAAATAGTAGGACATTTAAAATGCACTGTATACATGTAAAATGCCTCTGACAAATTGTGCTTCAATGATGAAGGTCAAACGTGGCAGTGCCTAGAATGAGGGAATGATGGGAGATTTGTGTGTGATCACTTAGCAGCGATAGGGAGGGATGAATGCAGTAATGGAGCTTTCCCCTCAATGATTTCTCTGCTGGGAGAACAGCAGGTTTTCTTCGCATAAAGTCTCAGACCTGTTAAATGTTCAGTAATCACTTTTTTTTGCCATGTTTGAGCTCTTGCTTCTTTCTCCAGCTTCCATTCCTCTCACATTTCTGCTGTCTCTCTCCCTCTCTCTCTCTTTGTGCATTGAGGCCTTTTATTAGTCCATTTCAGATCCTGGCAGAAAGGTGGAGCAACGATAAGGGGGGAGTCACGTTGATCCCGCTGAACAAACAATGGGATTTTGCTCCTCTCATCTCACATCATGCCAGGGGGGAAGAAAATGAATGTTTGTCCTTCGTAGAGCAGGTCAATTCTTTGAGTGCCTCTTTATTATGATGCCATCGTGTCCACAGGAGGACCAAACTGAATCTTGAATTGAGAAAATCGCTATACTGTGTTTGTCTGGGCCTAGTTGTTTGAGCATTTATCTGACAAATCTGGCTTATTTGATAATTTGCCTGTCAAATGTTAGAGTGAGTTTGCATCACTTTGAGGTACAGTATCATGCATGCGCATATATATATATATATATATATATATATATATATATATATATATATATATATATATATATATATATATATATATATATATATATATATATATATATATATATATATATATATATATATATATATATATATATATATGTATGTTCTCCCACCAGTGACCAGCCATATCGCACTGCTACAAGAACTGCTATAAACTGTACAAAACGTTTATACAACAGTTTGATAATCGTATGTATAAAACAGCACGGCATAATCGTGTGCATAAAACAGAAAATCAAACAGAGTCTCAAGAAAATTTTGTATTAGGAACTACTTTCATCCGCCACTCAATCACATCTGCAGCTGAAGTCAGAACAGCAGAAACCATTGCTCATTCACCAGCGTCACTGTAGAGCTAGTGTTTGACTGATTCTATAGCGTAATGTCTAAAGTGAGGACAGAACAGCAGATTTTGCTCACATTTTAAAATTATAAGGCTGAACAGCATGAAACGCCATCAGTCTACAGAGATTTCCCAGTATTTCTCTGTTGCAATCAGATCACAATAATTAATCCTGAAAAAGCCAAAGCAAACACTAGCAGGTTACAGTTGTGTTTGCGACTTATTAATAGCCACTGCTCGTCATCAGATTTCTTAAAAATATGCCAATAAAAACACTTTGGCAGGGCTGCGGAATGAGGAAAAGCTTGCTCTCATTATCAGCTTAAACTAATACTGTCATTGTTTGTTCACTTATTGTGGATGGTCATTCTCAAACCGTTGAAAGACATGATTTTGTATTAACCCTTATGCTAACACATACTGTAAGAACACGATAACGCATCCAACAGCTGACTCGTGATGTACAGTACAAGTATTATTTGTGTGGACGTCTACGGGTTTCATTTTAAAGAGACAGTTCACACACACACACAGCAACATTTCCATTTCATTAACACACACTCACGTGGTTCTACACTTGTGTGTATTTCATTCTGTTCAACACAAAACAAGATCTTTTGAAGAATGTTGGAAAATATTCACTAGTAGGAACAAAAAAATACAAAGTCAGTGACATCCGTCAGTATATCTTCATTTGTGTTGAACAGAAGAAACACATGTAGAACGAGAGGCGGATGAATACATGATGACAGTTAAATACAGTATTTTAGGGTGAACTGACCCTTTATTGAGAGATCAAGGCTTCTGATTGCTTGTTTGAGGACATTTGAGACACTCGTGAGACACTGATGAGAAACATCCAAGCATGATCTGTGTTTAATCAATCTGCTGTCTCAGAGGAATATATCGGTGTCATCTGATGTCCCGGACATGTGATCTGTGCATGGATGGACGCGATCTTTATGATGGATGATAAGATTTACGAGGTCTGAATGAGGACTTTGTTCATTTTTTACAGAACAGGCCAAAAACACTGACTGTCATCTAAATCTGCACATCAGATAATGAGGACATTTAAAGAAGAAAGAAGGAGAATATCTCAGTCTTCCGCAGTTATCGCTATATGATGAGTCTCAGAGAGATAGCTGATGCAGTTCAGACAGTTCACGCAAAAATGAACCAAGACATTATTTTAAAGGCACAGCTCACACTCAGGTGGACATTCTGTCATCGTTTACTCATCCTGTAAATCAGATCCAAAAGGTTGGATCTAGAGTTTTTATCCATTCAACACTCCATCCATCCATCCATCCATCCATCCATCCACCCATCTAACTGTCTGCTTGTCCATCCATCTTTATCAGTATATCCATCCATACAACTCTATCCATTCATGTATTCACCAGTATATCCATCCATACATCCATCTTAATTATATCCATCCATCCATATGTCCATCTACCTTCTTTATCAGTATATCCATCCATCCATCCATCCATCCATCCATCCATCCATCCATCCATCCATCCATCCATCTATCCATCTATCCATCTATCCATTTATCTATCTATCTATCTATCTATCTATCTATCTATCTATCTATCTATCTATCTATCTATCTATCTATCTATCTATCTATCTATCTATCTATCTATCTATCTATCTATCTATCCATCCATCCATCCATTTATCCATCCATCCGTCCATCCATCCATCCATTTTTTCATTTATCCAACTATCTAACTATTCATCCATCCATCTTCATCAGTCTATCTATCAATCCATCCATCCATTTATCCATCCATCCATCAAGTTTTCCATCCATCCATCCATCCATCCATCCATCCATCCATCCATCCATCCATCCATCCATCCATCCATCCATCAAGTTTTCCATCCATCCATCCATCCATCCATCCATCCATCCGTCCATCTATCCATCCACCCATCTCCATCCATCCATCCATCCATCCATCCATCCATCCATCCATATATTCATTCATTCATTCATTCATCCATCCATCCATCCAACTATCTAACTATTCATCCATCCATCTTCATCAGTATATTTATCAATCCATCCATCCATTCATCCATCCATCCATCCATCCAACCATCCATTCATTCATTCATCCATCCATCCATCCATCCATCAAATTTTCCATCCATCTATCTGTCCATCTATCCATCTATTTATCCATCCATCCATCCATCCATCCATCCACCCATCTTCATCAGTCCATCCATCCATCCATCCATCCATCCATCCATCCATCCATCCATCCATCCATCCATCCATCCATCCATCCATTCATCCATCCCTCCATCCGTCCATCTATCCATCCATCTATCTATCTATCTATCTATCTATCTATCTATCTATCTATCTATCTATCTATCTATCTATCTATCTATCTATCTATCTATCTATCTATCTATCTATCTATCTATCTATCTATCTATCTATCTATCTATCTATCTATCTATCTAAATCCAGTTATATATCCATCCATCCACCCATCCATCCCTGTAGTTTGTTTGTTTATTTGTAGCAGTGGTTTCCCGGTGTTTGCTGATGACGGTGTTTTACACTGAGGTGAGCAGGGATTATGTAAGGCTGTGAATCTGCTGATTGTGTTTCTGCTGCTGGAGGTTTTGAGGTGTGGTTCTGCTTAATAATACCTGATAACCCCACTGAACCTGCTATTTAGAGTTTGACCAGAAGACACATCATCATTACACACACACACACACACACACACACACACACACACACACACACACACACACACACACACACACACACACACACACACACACACACACACACACACACACACACACACACACACACACACACGCACACACACACGCACACACACATGAACACTGAGAGTGACAGATTGTGTTATCTAGAAGTGAATAACCTTCAGGAGACTCGGATATTTAGTATTGTTTGGATTTATTTACAACTTTCATTTCTACAAAACACAGCAGACTATCAAAAGTGAAAATCCTTCACATCGACATTGACTTGTGGTTTAAAAGTGTATTCAGCTTATATATTTAAAACATTAGTATTCAAAATATAGTACAGAAATATGATGCATGTATTTACTAATAAAAAAAACATTGAAGTTGGTGTATAAACAGTGAATTTAGGATCCATTTTGATGAACAATGAATGATAAAACGTCAATTGAAAAATAATACAAATGTTTGCTTTAAGGTGCAAAAACTTGACAAAAAAACAATTTAATTACTATTTTAAACACTGAAAATATTCTGGCCACACTTTATAACACGTTTCAGGTTGTTTACATGAACTAAGACTTATATAGAAATACTGAAAATATGTATTAATCTGAGCACACACTCATTTGCACATTATTATTAACACATTATTAATCACAGAAAATGTTAATAATATTTAATGCACCTGATCAAAATTAAGATGTAGCATTACATACAAATTAACAGGATTTTCAAACATGGACACGGATTAATAAATACTGTAACAAAAATATATATAATTGTTACCCAACACATTACTGTAAAGTGTCACCAATATTTCCTTCTGAAAACACTCAGTGAACTGCACAAATTCATAGGTTTTAGAAAGATATATAAAAACAAAACTAGAATAAAAACCCATTCAGAGCCCGATCTGGTCTTCATAAAAGGACAAAAGCAATAAAATTCCCCAGCCGCTTAAAAGTCCCAGATTTTGCAATGTAAATATGAGCCACGGTCTCCGACTGTCCACATGAATCAGCGTAGGAAGCTTGAGGAGGAAACACAAATAAAGGATTTTTGAGTCTCTGTTGACATTAAACACAGCACTGAGCAAAGTACTTTTTAAAGTAATGCATTCATTCTATAAAAAAAATAATAAAATGATCACCATTACATTGAAATGGACCCTTCTGGATTGTTCAGTTATTAATAAAAGTTATTATTAAACTTTATTTGCTGGTGACAATTAAAAAAAAAAAGTAACTGGATGTTAGAGCCCTGCAGATCCACAACATTATAAGACATTAATATATGATGAGAATGTGGTCCGCAGCATCTAAAGACAATGTTCAGCATTGATGTTCAATAACAACATGATATGTTGTTGATTTTTAGGTTGTGTTGGAAAATAACCAAAATCGAACATCTTAAACCAACGTCATCAACTACAGACATTTAATTGTCAGGTTTGGCAACCAAAATCCAACATCTGATAGACGTCATTGTGGTAACGTCCACACAACATCAAGCTGTAACATCAGTAGACATTGATGGAAAGTCATCAAAAGGCAACGTTTGTCTGACGTTGGACGTCGACCCAATTTTCATTTCCAAACAAAATGCAATGTCACTTGATGTTGGGGTACAACGTCAATCTGACATTATGTTGATGTCCTCCGCCTGCTAAAGGATTATCAGTTACTTGGAAAAGTAATCTAAGTATGTAACTCAAGCTACTTGTAATGCTTTTTCAAAATAGTAACGTTACTGTCCTAGTGAGTAGAATCTGCGGACGTTTTTTGCTATTTCTGCTGAGAATTTTGGTAAAAATCTGCAGATTTCTGTGGAATTATTTTGGGAGTATCATAACTAAAACCTTAATATATGAAATAAAAAATAATCTCTTTTTAACTTCTATTTAATGTTTAAAATGCAAATCAAATAAAGATTCACTTTATTTGGTAAACAAAGCAAGTTTGTCATATAATCTAGTAATCTAGTAAAAGTGCAAAGCGCAGGGCGCAAATGCATTCAGGGCATGTCTGAATCCGCTTTTGCTAATATAAGGATGGAAAAATCCGCTTAGCGCCGTGGCGCATGGTCTAAGAGGGTTGAGCTTATTTTCTTAATGAGTTATTGGTGTGTTTTGAGAATAAACCAATCAGAGTCTCATCTCCCATTCCCTTTAAGGGTGCTTTCACACCTACACTTTTGTTTCGGAACGCATCTCGTTTGCCCAGTTAGCGCGGTTCGTTTGGCATATGTGAACAGGGTAATCGCGCTCTATTCCGCGCCAAAGTAATCGCTCTGAGATCGCTTAAATGAGGTGGTCTCGGCTTGATTGAAACGAACCCTGGAGCAGTTAGATTGCAGTAAGAAAGCGATCCGATCCGAGCGCGGTTATATCACAGTGTTTTATGGATATGTAATAGGCTTACGGCCATATGAAGAGAGAATTATGAGTATGGCGGGAAGTTTCGCGAGTCTCCGGATGCCCGCAAACGAGTGATGATCTCTCGGTAATCTCATGTCTCCCTCTCGCTCCTCAAATAGGCATCGTCGCGCACCCTTCTCACCCCTCCCCACCGCATCTCTCCTCAGACACATCGCACGCACCCTGTCAATCACCACCAAACCACCACCTCTCCTGACAGCTGAGCGGGACGCTGCAAAAAACCCTGACACTCTGACCAATGTGAGGAGAGTTTACTCACACGTGAGTTGTTTTAGCTCTTTTGGTCCGATTAGAAACTTTGCAGTGTGAAATTGAACCGCTCCAAGAGCAACACTGTAACATTTGTAATCGCTGTTTCAGAACAACTGAATCGATTCACAGGTGTGAAAGCAGCCTAAGAGCCAGTTGCGTCACGCCATGGAGCATTTGCTATTTACATGGTGACTTTGTAAGTGGAAAAACTGAGAATTTCACTAGAGAGAAAACAACTAAACAGAGCATCTGCAGCGCGAGAATGACAGATAAACTATTAACTTTCACTTTCACTCTCATGGATAGGGAAACCTTGTTGGCACAAACATCAATTAGCCTATAAATAATTAATTTTGTTTATTAAGCGCAAATATTCGTTTCAAAACTATTTCAAAATTCAGTTCTAATCTCCAGCAAATTAATAAATGAACAATAATAATGAAGTGTGGTCAGAATACTGAGTCATATCCTAAAACACATGCTGTGCCCCATATGGTCTAAAACCTGACAGGTGGGCAAATCTAAGCTTGTTTTTAATAAAACAAATATAAATATGGATATAATAAATAATACTGCTAATAATCATAACATTATACACAAGCAAATTGTTATGAATGAACTGAAAAAGCCTCCCGAGATGAAGAAGGCATGAAGGCAGTGGTGTTTATATTTATGTCGGCTAGAAAATAATCATTATTGTAATATTTTAATCCTTTATATTTATAGCCTATATTTATATCCTTATTATATCCTATATATTTCCTCAATATTTTAATTCTTTTTCATATGTAAAGATGTTTGCCTATTGCTCTCTTGTGTGTATTAAGCAGTGTGTAAGTGAGGCGCGCTCTGCGCAGGACAATAGACCGGCTTTGTTCTGGTTTATTGAAAAATCTATTATAGTTTCTCAAAATAGCAACGCGCCAGCAATACACCTCAACACACCTTCCTTTTTAGAGCAGAACGCCTATGGGCGCACATATGAGCGCTAATGCATTTGCTATTTAAACAGCGTAGCGAAAGACATCAAAACCGCTCTTGCTCCAAGCTGAAACTAGCAAACAACTATTGCATCGCGCCTTGCTCCACATTGCGCCGGGTGTATGATAGGGCCCTAAGTCTCAACGTACCATGTCTGCCAGCCCGACGTACAGGAAGAGTCCTGCGGTTACGGCGGAGATCCACTGCTCCGCGGCTGAATCTGTGGAGACGGACAGCGCGATGTACAGGCCGATGAAGGAGGTCAGAGAACTGCCGAAGTTCAGTAGGAGAGCTCGCTTCACCGACACGCCGCAGTGCAGCAGCACCGCAAAATCACCTGAAAACACACACAACACACACATACTTCAAGCTGTAAACAGATTAAACATGACTTGACAACAATGTACAATAACATATGATTTCAGTTTTTACACTTTAAATAAAAAAGGTGGCCACACGGTGGCTCAGTGGTTCGCCTCACAGCAAGAAGGTCACTGGTTTAAGTCCCGGCTGGGTCAGTTGGCATTTCTGTGTGGAGTTTGCATGTTCTCCCCATGTTGGCGTGGGTTTCCTCCGGGTGCTCCGGTTTCCCCCACAGTCCAAACACATGCGCTATAGGGGAATTGATCAACTACTTGTCTGTAGTGTATGAGTGTGTGTGTGTGTGTGAATGAATGTGTATGGGTGTTTCCCAGTACTGGGTTGAAGCTGGAAGGGCATCCGCTGTGCAAAACATATGCTGTGATAGTTGGTGGTTCATTCCACAGTGGCAACCTCTGATGAAGAAAAGGACTAAGCTGAAGGAAAATGAATGAATGAATGCTGCATATATAATACATATTTTTATTGCATTATTGATTAAATAATTTTTATTTTGAAAATTAAATTAGTTATTGCATTGTTTTTTTATTACTTGTTTATTTGTATTTTGAATACATTTTAATTAATAAAATTTTATGTATAAATAATTTTTTATTGATTTAAAATTTTTCAATATTTTTTTATTTTATTTTATTTATTTTATTTTATTTTTATTTTATAAATAAAGGGACTAAGCCGAAAAAAAAACAAATGAATGAACTTAAAAGGTCATGATCTGCACTTGAGTGATTTTTAAATATTTTTTTATCTTTTATTTTTAAGGTTTTACACTTGAAAAGTTTGTGCACGCTTGCTTCAGTGTGTTACTTTCTTTACAAATGATTTAGAAATTTATTGGCAATTACTGATGCTAAATATTTGCCAGTAAATTAAAGATCTCACCAGTGTTGGCGCCAATAGTCAAGTGGTTAGTGTGTCAACACATAACACCAAGGTGCTCACAGAGACCCGAGTTCAATTCCCGACTCAAGGTCCTTAGTCAATCTTTTTACTATCTCTTCTCCCCACTTTTTTTTCTGTAAATCTACACTGTCTTATAAGTAAACACCTAAAAATAGATCTCACTGGTTTCTTTCCTATGATAAAAATCTGGGAAATAACAATAATATTTAAATATATTGAACATTTCTGAAATTGTTTTCCCAGCGATGGGTTGCGGCTGGAAGGGCATCCGCTGCATAAAAACTTGCTGGATAAGTTGGTGGTTCATTCCGCTGTGGCGACCCTGGATTAATAAAGGGACTAAGCCGACAAGAAAATTAATGAATTTCTGAAATTGGCTGTAAATAATAGCAAATACCTGCATTTTCATGCAAAATTCATAATAATTATTTTTTACATTGCGTCTCATTTCTTAAATCATCAGTAAGGGTCTAATAATGATAGCTTGTTTCTCAGCTTATTCCCAGTGTTGGGTTGTGGCTGGAAGGGCATCCGCTGTGTAAAACATGTGCTGGATAAGTTGGCGGTTCATTCCGCTGTGGCAACCCTGGATTAATAAAGGGACTAAGCCGAAAAGAAAATGAATGAATGAATGATTCTCAGCTTATTTTTTACAATAATCGCAAATACTTTTCACCTCAAAATTAAACCAAATAAATAATACATTATATTTTAAGAACAAATGAAGAGTTTAGATGCAAAAACCTCTGAATGTCATCTGAAATTCTCCTAAAATGAGTCTTTTTTTTCAGCTTCCTACGTTTATGTTCAGCTATTTCACTTTAAAGGCGACGAAAAGAACTTATTTATCACTATAAAAGTAAAATTGTTAAGCCTACACACAGGAGTCTGAGAAAAATGCTAATTTTAGAAGAGAAAAAATCAAAAGGCATTAGAGGTTTTTGCATCTAAACTCTTCAAACATTATTTTGCAATTCTATTTTATGCATAAAAAGAACTCTAAATAAAAATAGTGTTGTGTTTGAATAAAACACGGGCTCTGTTTGATTCCGTAATCTACCAACATCAGTTCTTCACTTTTATTTAGAGCCCTTTTTCTGCATAAGACCACAACAATGACAAAAAAGGTGCGAAGATTTAAAATTAAAACATCAAAAACATTCAAAACGACACATTGTCCCTCTTCCAAACAGGGAAAACCAGCAACAATCGAGAATGCATAAGCTGTCAATAAATGTGCTTATAATGGAAGTCAATGGGGCAAAAACAGCCCCCAACATCACCAAAGAGGAGTCAACCTGAACAGTACACAAGGGTGAAGGGATATGCCTTTTATCTCTTCACGGTTGGATTATTGTAATGTTCTGTTAGCTTGTCTGAACAAATCTTCCATGGATCAATTGAAAGGATGCAGCGGCGAGGCTTTTAACCAACACCAATAGGAGGTCGCAGATTACTCCTGTGCTTAAGGCACTTCACTGGCTTCCTTATTAGTTTTAGAGAAACTTTTAAGACTCTGGTCATTACATATAGAGCTCTGCATGGTCAAACACCTCTATGTAGTCAAGATCTTCTATGCAGTCACTCATGTAGCCAGTCTCTGAGGTCTTCTGGCATATACCTTTCAGCCATTCCCAGAACTGGTCTTTTAAAGGGGGCCGTGCCTTCTGTGTGGTGGCCCCACGGCTCTGGAAATCTGGAATCACTTTTTAAAAAGCATTTAAAGACGCACCTTTTATGGTCAAGCTTTTAAATGACGGTATTAGTGTTTCAGTACATATATTTTTAACTTGTTTTAATATGTTTTCTTTTATTGATATGTGCTCTTTTACCTGTTTTCGCTTATTGTAAAGCACCCTATGACTCAACGTCTGGGAAAGGTGCTATATAAATAAACCTTTACTTACTTAGACATGAACTGTGTGTAATTTCAGGTCGTGTCTAATTTAGGTAATAGATGTTTACGGATGGTGTGTGGTGTTTAAGTTAACAGTCGTGTCTCTGGCTAAATAAGGAAGCGGAGATCAGTATTGTCCGGTGTCCTGAGTGTGCAGAAAGCGCATGAGGAAAGCATCAGGTGCGGTTCAGAACTCACTCGTATCTAATCTGAGATTATCTGGAACATTCATGACTCACATCGGGAACGCATGAAGAGAAACCGCGGCTCATCACTTCTCAAAGTCCTTCAGCGGAGTTTAACTATCAGAGTTTATCACAGAGCAAACACTGAGAGCAGATTCAGACAGATTCATGACCACACCGACGACACACTCCTTATCAGGACAAATCTGCTGCTTTAACTCTTATGAATACCGTCTGGCTGAAAACTTTTATGCATGTACAGTGGGGGAAATAAGTACTGAACGCGTCAGCATTTTTCTCAGAAAGCATACTTCTAAAGGTGCTGTTGACTTGAAATGTTCAGCAGATGTTGGTAGCAACCAAAGAAATCCTTATATGCAAGGAAAACAAGTCTAATTAGTTTACAAATGAAGTTCTGCGCAATGAAATGATGCAGGGAAAAAGCATTGAACACATGAAGGAAGGGAGGTGTAGTTGGGCAGTGAAAGCCCAGACAGCAGCTGAAATCTCTCAGTAGTTGTTCAGCAAGCCTCTGCCCTTAGCAGGAGGATGAAAATGAAACCATTTCAGCAAGACAATGATCCAAAACACAGCTAAGGAGACTCTCAGATGCTTTCAGAGAAAGAAAATCAAGCTGTAGAATGGCCCAGCCAATCACCTGAACCGAATCCAGTAGAGAATACAGAATAAAGCTCAGATTTGACAAGACAAGACCCACAGAAGCATCAAGATTTACACACCGTTGAAGTCTAAGAAAAACTCACACCTGAGCAATGCATTTTGTCTATGTGTAAATGTGTTTGTGTGTATTTGTGTGTGTGTTTGTGTGTGTGAGAGTCTCACCTAACTCGTGTGGTAGCTCATGACAGAGAACCGCCAGTGATGTGGCCAAGCCTGAACGCCACGAGATGGAAAACGCAGCGCCGATGGCCAGACCGTCCGCAAAATTATGGATCCCGTCACCAATGGTGATCATATAGGGAAGCAGACGCTGCTCTGAGGACGAGAGACAACACAGTGTTACTATATACTACATACTAGTAACTATATATTGTCAGTATACATTATATTATTTCAAACGACTAAAATGTCAATAAAAATCCCTTTGTTAAACTGTAGAGTTGAATTTACAACATCAGAAGTGGACAGAGCAGAGATCAACATCCTATAATGAA